CTTTTGGGATTGGGTTTTTGAGTCTCTTTGGGTTTGTTCTCCATCCGCAAAAACAGTCTTAAACATCCCACATAGTGCGGCGAAGATCCCTACATTGACACTTTGCTCAATACCTCGTTGTGCGACCTACCAGTGATCCAATTTAACTGAATTTCATCGCCATGTCTGGAGGTGAACAATCGACTATTCCAGACAAAACCGCGTCTCTACCTTGAAAAAACCGGCTTCCCAGTTTCTGTTAAAACTAAAATATGCTTTCGATGAAAATGCCATTCCTTGAGATTTTCTGAAACGTGAAATCTCAATGAAGCTCTCCTTTCCTTCTAGTTGCACCTTTACTGTTTGATCGTCTGAATCCCCATAGCCGTTCACTCTCTGGTATAATCGGAGATGGAGGCTCTTCGCCATTTGCTTCAGGTACGTCACATTTTCTGTCGTCTACTAGACGGGCTACCGGAACGTCGTCACTAGCAACTTCCTCACGCTCCACAGTTTTCGCTTTTTCGGCTTCACCGTTTGGTTTATCTTCTTGCCATCTATCCGGTTCCTCCATTTTATGGAACTTTTGTCAACCCCACCATTCTAGGCACTCAGAAATTCTGAACCAGATGTCTTAATTGTTCGTTGACTCTCAATCGCTGGTAAAGAACGGTCTAAAAACTCCCACTCCTCATTATGAAAGTCACAAAAACCAGAAACACGATCTGTAGTTGATTGTCCACAGCATCCCCATGATATTCACGCTTGTGGGTGGAGTGATCGCCGCAGAAAGAGACCAATAAAACTAACTAATACGCAACTGATAGTCGCCGTTTCGTGTTATATAGCGAACCCATGGAAGTGCCTGGAAATGGATGCATGTGAAAGAATCGGGAAGACCACTCCTACCTGATAACCCGACTTCTCAATGATCTTGAGGTAACGAACTGTGATGCTTGAGACCGTGAAATATGGAATCTCAAAAACAACGTTAATTGGACGCTTTAATGCGCTTTTGTAGTCCTCTAAAAGAAACATTGTAGATCAGTATGTTCAAAACTGTGTCACCTACCATCACAAATAGTGGGCAACCCAAAGCTTGCTGTCATGACAAACTCCTTCTGTCCTTGGAACTGCTTGATATACCAGACCATGACATTTTTATCAGGGAGATATTTAACGTTTCCAATCGACGTCTAACAAAAGAATATGAAGAGACAAACAACAACAACGACACAAACCTTAAAAGTCGGAGTGTCAACATCAGAAGGAACTGGAACGTGAATTTCAACGTCGTTTGCAACACTACGACTCTTGAAGTTCGATTTGGCTTTGATCATATAATCGACTCGTGAGCGCCCTCGACCTGGTTCAGAAATACTACATTCAACCCAGATCAGAGGTCGAACCTGACGCAACGCTAATGGATTGATTCATGAAGCTGAGCCTCCTACTTGCGTGTTTAGTCGATAGCTCATCAGCTCGAATTCTCCATCAGGTGGGATAAACGAAATTGTTCGATCCACTTCAAATCTCGTCAGCCGAACGCATTGATGGAATCGAATGTCCTCAAGCTCGACGGATTTTCCCTTAGGTGTTGCAGACGATCCCCCTACATGCAACAAGAGTCATACTTTGAATCTAGCGACCTGGGTTCGAATCCCATTACGACCTAATATATTCAAATATTCCATCGTTACGAGATAAGCACCTCTTCCCGTTGCTTCAAACTGCAACTTGTCGTTCAAGCCAAGCTTCAATTCGGGCATCCCCGATAAGTAAGACTTCATTTTTAATGATCCCAATATCTCGCTTCTCAAAACAGTTCCAGTACTTGAGACCTACAAGAGAGTCCTAACATTTCTGATGCATCAACACACATACCAGTAGGTTGAGCCTTTCCACAACATCTAAGAAAATTTCGTTCTTTTTGTGGCGGATCCCTTCAGCCCTCCATGAGACCGCATTGGTGACACACGCTGGAGGGGCAGCCGGAGTGGAATCTCTCAGTAGCATATTAGCTTCGTTCTTGATATATTCCCGCAAAACTTTCCCTTCTGTGATTTGAGGATATCCATCGTCCATCATTTCGTCTAGTAACTCGTACATGATGACGAAGTTATCACGAATACTCTCTTCTTCTAACGTCTTAAAATAACTTTTGAGAACATCTACCAACCGAATCAAAAAGGAAAGAATCATCATTGCATTCGAATTGTGGACTGTCACTCCGACCACTAGAGAAGGAAACACAGAAGAAATAATGATAGACAGAACAGACCAACTGTTAAAAAACGAAGCTTGTGAAGAAATGGACGCTACAAGGCGAAACTCACAGTAAACATCACGATGGCGGATCCAGCAAAAGATAATTCCATCTTCTGCAAAAACTGGCTTAACAAGATGCTCCTCTTGCTCGACGACATACTGGCAGAATCTGGAAAGAACAACACTATAGAAGGATTCCGCAATGGGAGGGTGCTGACTTCTCTGAACAACTAACAGGAACGTCACCACGATAGTTTCGACTTATGATGACTTTCCCCTTTGAATCCAAAATGAACAAAGCACTGGCTCCGGACATTCTGGCCACAATGAAACAAAAGAGCACCTGCCCTCAAAAAATGGCAGCTGCTCTCAATAAAGTGACTTGCGTTGGGAAATACCAATCAGGGAATGGGTAGTACCAACTGGTCCACAAGGGCTGCCTGACTGGGACTTTTTCTTGAGCGACCTGATTTGTCAAAATGTCGAGCTACGATTATGACTTGGTTGTAATTGGAGGTGGATCTGGCGGAATGGCCGCGGCTAAGGAGGCGATGTTGTGCGGTGCCAAAAAAGTTGCTTTGTTTGACTTCGTGAAGCCAACTGTTCACGGTTAGTGTGTCTTTCTCTCTCTTCATCTCTGTATCTTGCGCTTTCTGGCTCCTCTTAGGAACCAAATGGGGTCTGGGTGGCACTTGTGTCAATGTTGGATGCATCCCTAAGAAGCTCATGCACTACGCAGCATCGATGGGTCCTGCGCTCCACGGCGATGCTCCTCATTTCGGATGGAATATTGAAGTGAAGGGCCATGATTGGAACGCAATGATAGATGTAGGCGATTTGAGTCCTTAGAAGTTGTGGATCCCTTCATTGTAGGCTGTACAACAATACGTTAAGAAGCTTAACTTCAGCTACCGAGTGGGTTTGCGATCGAAGAAAGTGGAATACATCAATGCGTTGGGTAGAGTTGAAGATCCTCATACTGTCTCTTATGTCAAGAACGGAGAGGTGCGTTATAAGGGTGATGTCTCACGTTGACAGACTGTTCGTTCCTTTTGCTTCTCCAGACCCAGAAGCTTTCAACCAAGTACATTTTAATTGCTGTCGGAGGGAGACCGAATGTTCCATCTGAAGAAGAAGTCCCTGGAGCCCAGCAGTATGCCATCACGTCTGACGATCTCTTCTCACTAAAAACCTCTCCAGGGAAAACGTACGCCTGACTTTCGATTATCTGATCGGTCTGTTGCTCTTATTTCAGTCTTGTCGTTGGGGCATCATATATCGCGCTCGAGTGTGCTGGATTTTTGACTGAACTCGGATATCCTGTTAGCGTTTTTCGTTTCCAATCCCTCCTCATCACTTTCTGTTATTCAGACAACCGTCGCAGTTCGCTCCATTTTGCTTCGTGGCTTCGATCGCCAATGCGCAGAGAAGGTCAGAAACCATCGCAGAGTTTTCAAACCCTCACTTTCTCACCAGGTCGGCCAAATGATGCAAGAAATGGGAACAAGATTTGTTCGTGCGCTCCCAACTCGAATCACCAAAACAACTTCGGGGAAATTCCAAGTATGTCGCTTTGAATTCTCACTACTGACTCGAATTGCCTGCGTCCAGGTTGAGTTTAGCGATGGGCTTCCAACAGAGGAATTCGATACAATTCTCTACGCGACTGGCCGCTTGCCAGATACACAATTGCTGAATCTCGAAGCGGTGGGTGTCAAGCTTGATGACAAGGGAAAAATCATTGCAACGTGCGAGCAATCCTCCGTTCCCAGCCTGTTTGTTGTTGGAGATGCTTTAAGCGGAGGGTGAGTTTAGCGAATGGAGTGCACTGCAGACATGTTTTGATTTCTTTAGACTGGAACTAACTCCAGTGGCTATCAAAGCTGGCGAGCTCTTGGTTCGCCGTTTGTTCGCTGGATCAACAGTTCAGATGGACTACCATCTGGTGCCAACTGCAGTTTTCACACCATTCGAATATGGAGCTTGTGGAATGTCTGAAGAAGCAGCCATTGTAAGTTAATGAGTTCTGAATGCATTTCACTTCTGATTGAAATAGGAGAAATATGGACAAGCCAACGTTGAGGTTTACCTTTTCGAATTTCCAACTCTGGAAATTGCTGCAGCTCACAGAGCAAAGGTTTTGTCAGCACGGGTTAATGAAGCGGATGTGGAATTGAGCCCAAACTCGCTGACGAAACTCGTTTGTCTGAAGAGTGAGAATGAGCGTGTTCTTGGATTTCACTTCGTTGGAATGAATGCTGGAGAGATTACGCAAGGGTACTCTTTGGCTCTAAAATTGGGCTGCAAGAAGGTGAGTTGGCTTTTGAAATTCTCACACTTATACGATTTTGCAGTCGGATTTCGATAGCGTTGTTGGGATTCATCCCACTGATGCAGAGTCGTTCCACAGTTTGGCAATTACAAGATCCTCTGGAGAGTCGTGGGTTGCTGCGGGAGGATGTGGAGGTGGAAAATGTGGCTAAAAAGTTGCAAAGAGTTTTTGTGTTTACTCCCTAGCAAAAAATCAAAAAACTGCTAGACTTTCGTTATCCGCACTTGTAAATAAAACGGGATTATTGAAGATACATGAAAAGTAAGGTGCAATAAATCGAACAAGTAATTAAAACAAGTAAAATCAAGGGAGAAGATTTTGACAACTTGGCTTCCCAAGTACTTTGTCGGTCAAGCCTCCCAAGCAGAAATAATATTCAAAATGTGACCCCATCTAGGATCGTTGTTTAAGTATATCTGGAATAGAACCAACAAGACGCATGAAGGCGTTTCCCGGGATCATCAAGACCTGAAAATGGAACGAGAGTTGGAAAAATGAGAGTTGAGCCCAACAGACCTGAGCGACGTTTGCATCTTCCGTGCTACCGCCTAATGAAACGAAGGTTGACCGAATGGTCCTTTCACTTGCTGTATTCATCAAGGAGTTTTCACCAAACGAAGACCCAACACTGAGACGACGAATCTATGAGGCGAAGAGGAGTTGAAGTGTTGCATATTCAACATACTTGAACAGGCGGATGTCCATCAACGTAGGATTTACTCTGTGCTACCGTCCCACTCTTGACAATGAAAAAATTTTGATTAAAACTCCCTTGATGAACGATGACTTCATTTTTCTGAAAGTGTGAAAACGATGCGACTCAATGGAAAGGCTTCCGAGACACAAGTGGGATCAACAGTGAATGGCTTACAGGAAAGTAGAGCTCTGTTGTAACATCGGCTACTTTTGAAATTTCCTCAAGATTCAGCGTATTGAATAGAGGGACTGAGACTAAAAATTCTTGAATACCCAAAAGACGTTGGTGGGCCATATTAACGAGCAGACGGCGGCATATTGCGCGATCCAACTTCCACACTACTGAGCTTAAGAAAGAGGATGAGTAAGATGAGGTTCAACATATCACCGCGTACTCCATTCTCGCCTGATATGTTAGCTCGGATTTGAATTCAGAGAGCAAGTCTAACTCTCCGATAACATCACCAGGACCAAAAGCATGAATAAAAACGAGGTTCTCTTCCTCAATTGGAGAACATGTTGAACCGAAGGCTCCCCCACGCTTCGGTGAACCATCTTTAGTGAGAGCTCGACGAAGCGGTGAAGACGCATCGGGAAAAAAACTTAAATCAGAGTACGCAGATGAATTTTTCGGCGTTCGAGTCTTCGATGTGACGAACGACAGTTGTTTCCTCAGCCATGAAGCCCCTTTCCGTTTTGAAGTTGGTGACGCTTCTGGCAAGAGCAAAGGTTTGGGATCTGAAAGTTCAAACCCAGCCGTTGGAGTGGTGTCCTTCCCCATCGGGCTCAATGAAAGGCTCGCGGGACATGTCTGGAGGAGAGCGGCTGGCGGATCCAAAATTAACGAAGTACACGGTCCAGGAATGAATGGAGCTGAGACCATATAGTCGGGAGGTGGGTGATCGTGGGCTAGAGAAAATCTGGACCGAGGTGAGAGATAGTAACTCGGCTTCTCCAAAGCATCAATCATTCCATCTTTGACGATCAACATATGTGCTAGAATTCCTCCTGAGTGTAGTAGACGTGCTCCAGATGCAACTTTCTAATATGACAAAATCAATACACACATGATCGTTATGTCATACCTGCTTATCAAATGCTTCAACAATTTTTGAGAGACTGTTTTCGTTTAAGTGACGAAATACTTGCATGTTTCTTAGAACCTCTCGAATTTTTGATGACTCTTCCGGAGATTTCTTTGCGTTTGAAAATTGGAGCGGTCCTTGAGGAACCACCTCCGCCGAAATTGCCTGAGAAAGACAAAACGTCTCAGAGAAAATCACAATGTCTCACCTGACGAGCCCGAGGGTTCCAATTTTTGGGACATTCCTCTTTGAGCAAGTCTGGAAGATCGGCATACTCGCATTCATCATCCTCATCATCATCATCATCGTCATCATCACTACTCTTCTCTGATACTTCTGTACCGATCTAGAAAAGAACAATTTGATGGTCATCAACGATCAGCGATACCTGAATGTGGCTTGGATCTCTTCGTCCAGAGCTTTCTGCACCGAATGACTGAAGGGCAGAATTACAGATTATAAAATTGACTTTCTTCTCACCTGCAGGGTCCCAAAAAAAGGGGATACTCTAGCGGAAGTTCGTCGGACTGCGGAGCTTCCTGCTGCCGGTTCAAAGCAGTCTTCTTCTGTTCTCTCTAACTCATCACTCGTTTCCCCAGATGATGATAGACTTCCGTTCTTCTTCCCTCTCGCTTCTTCCAGCTTTTGAATCATAAATGCTGCTGGATCAGCGGGTTGCTCTGCCAAAACTTCTGTGAGAAGCATCTGTAATAAGGGGTCAATCTTATTTTGCACGTAAGCGGAGCTGAGCCCGTCGTTGTTCATCGCTCAAAAAGAACTGGCCCGTTAAGCCAGATCTTACAAATAAAACAGTGAAAAAAAATTGTCAGACTCTTTAGTCATCTCAGCAGTTCCAGATTGTTCCAGATGTTCTCACATGTGCGCTCTAGACAAAGGTATGCAACATAAGTGATCCTCAAAAATGAAAAGTCGAGCAAAAATAATACACACATCCTATAGGATTAAGGACCGATAGAATTGCAATATCAAACTGATAATGCCACGTCATCTTCAACCAAAACTTGTTTAATAGAACAATTCAGGTGCATGTTGAGTATCAATCTCCCACCCCTGTATTACCACCAGCGGCAAAATGATGGGGCAGCAGAGCCGTTTCCCTTCGCTCCAGTTTCTGCTGAAGAGGTCAAGAAGAGGTGGGGTCCTTTCGTTTCTCTTCCTCTTCTGCTGTCTGAAACTATTCTTGGATTTGGATGGCAAGAGAGTTATCTGGTGCTCCGTGAAATCTTTGCAGATGCCCTCTACCGTCGTTGTGATCCGTCTACTGAACCACGCCTTACTTTCGCTGAATTTGAAACAATCATGACGAATTATCCCTGTGTTGGAAAAGCCTATTTCCGCACACTGTTTTCATTTCTGGATACGACACACAAAGGTTCAATTGAAGAAACCGATTTCATCAGTGGGATGTTGGCGTCTTCACCGTTAGCACCAAGCGTTATCACGAAAGTGTGCCCCCAGCCCCAACTTACTCTCCATGCTCCAATCGTCCTCTATTCTGAAGCAACAACAACGACCGAGCGTTCTACAGGAATTTCGCCGATAACGTTGATTCGCCTGCAGATGATCTTCCTCCACTTCGATAGCGACGGGGATTCTTTCCTGAATCTTATCGAACTAACTCGTTTGATGACGCAGCTGCTTACCGTGGTAGCGAGCGAAAAACGCGCAGGACGAGAGGAGAAGTTGGAGCCATCGTTGGCAGCACCTTTAGGACAAACTTTCTGGAATGCTGTTCGCCATCTCTCTTGCCCCAGAGATACCGGATTCAAAGGAGAAACAGGGCGAGTGGTGCCAAGAAATTCAAGTGCACTTCAATTCTTTTCTACTTCTGAGATTGAGAAGCAGCCAGATTTCGATTTCTTAGCAAAGAATCCTTTCAATCTGTTGAGCGGGATCAAGAAATTCTTTGGTGCACATGAAGCGTCTGGAGACGACCAGTTAAGGAAAAAAAAAGTCTTCATTGCGTCGTTCAAGATCAATAGGGAAACCAGTCAGAGCGTCACCAGAAAACGGAATTCTTCGACCTTCAGAACGCTCCTCTTCCTTGATCGCTCCTTCTGCTGAGGGGGAAAAACCGCGTTTGAAGAATAAAACATCAAGAACGAATTCATCAAGAGTTGAACACGCTGGAGGGTCGTTTTTCGACTACGGAGGTCTCAGTGGCATGATAGCATCTTCAACGACGACTGATTCCTGTCCTGTTTCAAATGTTGAGAGGTGTTCCCAAGCTTCCATCGTCGCTCCTTCTTCAGCCACCCCAATGGAGTCCATAAGAGGAGATACGACTGATTCTGGCCCAGGGACTTCAATTCGATCTAGCTTAGCCGCTGATGTTGCTGCGTCACTCATTGGATCAGAAATTCAACAAGGATTTGCAACACTTCTAAATACAGTGTCGAGTGGAACAAATCTCTTTGGAAGAACTTGCACCAGCGACAGCGGAGGGGCTGGAGGGTTTCTCTGTGGAGCGGATGGCGATGTGGACAATGAAATTGTTGTTGACGAGTCCCTGAGTGGTCAATTTGATGGGATCCGTATCACTTCGTCAACAGCTCGTAAAGGAATTCCCTCGACTGAAAATCAATACAAGACGCCTTGTGACACACTGGGATGCAACGATGATGATTTCACCAGTAGAAATTTGGTTCGGGATGACATTGCAACTTCATCTTCTACTTTCCAAAGAAAATTGTTCACTACAACATTCAATCATGCTGCATCTCCTGCTATCGTTCATCGCGCTGGCACATATCAGATGTCTAGAAGAAACAAGAATCATCTTGATGAAGAATTGATTTCTGATGCACAAGGTTCATCTGCTCATGGACAATCTAACTCTCATCATCGGACACCCAATCTGAGAAACCCGATTCCCCCCAATGTCTTTAAAATGTCCAACATTGGGACATCCAACACGAAATCAATCAGGTTCTTCCAAACATTTCTTTTCCTCGCCAGTAACAGACTTGAAGAGCTCTCCTGCTGAGTTCAGTGAAAGAGATGCCATTCATTATGAGAAGCACATTCCGATGACCGGAAGAAGAACTCCGACTGTACCAACTGTTCAAACACACAACACCAGAAGTGAGTTATCCAGAGTCGCTCCTGTTGAGGAATACGAATATCAACGGAGGACTGGATCATTTCAGCGTCAACCTGCGGTCGGGTGCCGTTCAAACAATCCAACTGCACCTATTCCCACCACTGGACGCCTTCGAAACAAATTTGATCAAGATTATGAACATTCAGATGTTGGACTTCAAACGACAACAACATCTACGAGCGTTGCACTAACAACTGAAGCATTTGTTCATCAGAAGAGCTCAACGTCTCCCATCAACAATCAACAACCACGAATCAACAGGGAAAGCGTTGCATTGATGGCTGTAGCAGCAGATATGGTTGATTACTGGAGACGCGAGTTGGCAGAAAGTATTGCACGCCAACTCATTGCAACTTACGATGTGCTTGGGAATCAAAGGGGCTTGTGTTTCGCTGAGTTTATTGAGGTGAGCCATCGTGATTGTGATCTTTGTCTCATTAGTGTCTTCTCCTAAAGGCAATTCGAAAAAATGATATTCCAGGAACGGAGCTATTGTTTAGAACACGACAAGACTTTGTTTCAGTCGTGAAGACGAAGAAAGATGAAGCGATTGCTGATTTAGAACGGAGATCAACGATTCCTGATGAGAAGCCACTGATAACAACAACACAATCAGATGAACCCAGTTTTCCAATAAATTGTGAAATCGAATCATTGAAAGGATTTGTTGACGCATCGAGACGAACATCACTGGAGAAAATCGAAAGAGTAGAAAAGAACAGCTTGAAAGTATTCTATCAGGATTCAGCGGAAATTCCAGTGTCGCCTCTTGATCTTCTGTCGTTTTCACCAATTTCTGGAGAAATCAAGAATTCTGAATACGATGGAGGAGAAATTGAAACCGAGAAGGCGGAGAATGAAATTGTCACGGAAGATGAACCCGATCGAATAGAAGAACCAGCAGGGAAGAATATCAGCAGTACATTCAAACACTTTTTTGAATCGATGGGTTCAACGCGTGAATCACTCCAAGGCCCTTGCTTGCCATTGATAGAGAAGAAAGCGTCTTTGTTTGACTCTGTTGTAAAAAAGCAACAAAATCTTGAAGTGAATGAGGCGACGCTGCAATCTGTTGAGGTCAATGAAGTTTCCCAGGATTTGAGTTTTCACTTCTCACCAATTTCCCCAGCGACGCCTGAACAACCAACAGATGCTCGAAGCCAGATGCCCACATCTACTGAGATTAACAATACGCCGCTACGAGAGCCTTCACACGTTTCATTTCTTGCTCCATTCGAAACTCAAATTATCGAATCGTTGAACTCAAACAAACCAGAGAATCGGCAAACGCATTATCCAGTATTGGAAGGGAACGATCCAGAGATGATGAGCAAAACCTCATTGGAGATTTATGATGAAGATATGATTGCTATACAAACATCATCTGAGTCACTTGATTATCTTGAGCATCTAGTTTCTGAAATTCCGAACCCTTGCTCTGGGACTCCAGCACGAGAGAGTGAAGCGTCACCTGAGAATCAATCCAGCGGAAAATCTCAACGACGAGGATCTTCAGAAGAAAGGCAATCAAGAAGTAGAAGGCGTCTTCCCCCTTCTCATCGATTGCCGCGCAAAACCAGCAGCAATATTTTCAAAATCGCTCCAGAGGACATTTCTTGGAAGACCGTCACATTGTTACAAACTCTAGCGGAAAAACATGAACTGAATATCGGACTTGCAAGAAGAACAATCTCTAATGTGAAGAGATATCGACGTTACGGTTGGAGCCTCGCGGACAACATCACTCATGAGAAACTCACCTCTGAGTTTCAAGCTCAACAACGTCTGCCATACCTTGATGACAAATTCCTATCTCTCGGCGATTTGTGGAATCTCTGCGATGCTGTAGCTGATGTTTTCCGTTTTGAACCAATTTGGGTGAAGCTTCAACCAACCATGGACCCAATTCATGTTCTATGCAATCCACTGGTAGAACTGGAACTTTCACCTTATCCTCACAAGCAGAACTCATCAACGCTCTCCTCTGCAACCTACGACCTCCATCCATATCTTGAAACACTAATCGATGGACAGGAGCGTGAAAGTTCTCCAAGACCATCTGTCGTTCTATTGGGAAATTTTTGTTTATGCACAACAATATCGGAATGTCTTGAATTCATCGGATTAATCTTTTCACTGAAACTCTTGTTTCCTACGAGACTCATTTTGTTGAGGGGTATGAAAATTATTAATGAGAAGTCTTCAACCTCAATCTGTCAGGCTCAACTGAAGATTTTCTCGTTGCTAACGCCTATGGACTTGAAGACGAATGCGTCAAGCGTTACGGCGAGTCCAACGGAAAAGAAATCCTTCGACGTATTTTCGATGTTTTGGAATTTCTTCCTGTTTGTGCCTCAATTGAGCTTCCACGAGAGAAGATCCTATTGGTTCCAGGTAATGAAAACGAAGCGGTTTTCCCTGTTAGCTTCTTCTTTCTTTAGGGGACCTGCCTGCTTCCCCTGCTGTCTTCAAGAGCGTCGTGAGTCGCATGATTTCATCGCCTCCAATAAACATTTCGAAAAACCCAATTCCAAGTTTGCTTATTGCAATGATGAACACCGACCCGCAGACCATCAATTGCACTCCAATCCATGAAGAGAAGCATCGTGGATCTTCCCCAAATGAACGCACACCAACTTGCTTCCATAGTTGTGCAAGTCACCTGCCTGGGACTTCATACGCTACTGCACGACAACATTCAGAAACTCCAGTTCGTCAAACAAATTACAGTCGCTATAACAGAACAAAGAATCTGGAGCCGTTGTTTGAGGAAAACGCGTCAAAAGATTTGGCGACTCTGAAAGACTCGCGAGGAAAAACGAGAGAACGAACAACAATATTGGAAAGCTATTTTGAAGTTGTGTGGGGTTATGATGACATGACGACCTTCAATCAGAAAACAAGAAGTGATAGTACGATGGCTTCTGAGAGGAATGGAAAACGCGCTGAAGTCTCCATGTTGGAAACTCCAAGGCAAAAACTTCCGATTTTGGGTGATTCAGATTTTTTCTTAGACTCATCCTTGAAGTCGTCTCGATTCGATCCAGCAGTAAAATTTCAGCTTCTGAAAGAAACTGGATTTGATGGAGTGATACGGTTAGTGAATCAATTAAGAGGGGGTGTATGATGATTCGCTTTTGTAGGCCTGTTGTGTGCTCTGGTGGTCGCTGGCTTGCTGTTGAGACTCTAAACGATTTGAAAAAAAGAAATGATCACAGGATTCGGAGAGAATTGATTGGAAGACTCTTGACAGCAACTGGTACAGGAATTGAGTTGTTCGACGACCCAATCGGAATCAAGGGACAGCGATGCACCAAAATACCACTGTAGGAATAAATTGATCAAACCAAGACTCGATTCGTATTCCTTCAGACATCCGGCATCACCGATGAATGAGACATCGCCTCCGCGAGGCCGCCGAACGAGTCCCAAACCTCCAATCCCTGAAACGGCAAGCGCCTCTCGAAAATCGAGTTTCTGTCGGACGTTTGAAATCATTGATTCCGGCATCCGCTAAACGGACAATCAGCCGGACGAGAAGCAGCAGCAGCCAAATCAAGCAACCTTTTGCGGTTCTGTTCCTCACAAAAATAGAAAATGCAGTTTTGAATTTGTTTTTTTTCAAATCAGTTTTGTGCAAATAACGAATGTTGCTCGATACAAAAAACATCCATTTTGTGTCAAAAGTTCAAAAACGATGGTTTAGTGCGCTTCGTGACAAGTATGGAAGTGCTCTTGAATACGCATTCACAACACGCACCGGAAACGTAAGATGATTCCTACTCGCCCCCATCGACCAGATATCTCGTAGGACGCTCCCGTTTTGGACTCTCTCGTTTTGAAAGTAGGCGAATCTAGGGATAAGTCAACTGGTTGTGCAGTGTATTCAGGCGTTGGGGGAAATGGCGCTCTCGAGTACATAAAGCCGACAAAGAGACACCACATCGGACCAGGTGAGGAATACACCGTGTTGAGTTGATCAAACTCGGCGGGGAATGTTCTGATTCGCAGGAAAGCCGGCGGGAGGGAATGGAGGAAGAGGCGGACATGTCATTCTTAAAGCGTGCGAAAGACTTTCTGGATTCTCCAGACTTTACGGGGACATGATGACCAATGAGACTGTGAGCAGTCGCAGTTCAGCTTCTGAAAGACTTTGCATTACAGAACGCAAAAGGTTACAAACGATACATTGGAGCGACAGCAGGGAGGGGAGCTAACGGGATGGTTCGAATACGTCATGGGAATTGGTTTAAACTAATGTTTGCTCTTTAGGGAAAAGAAACCCACGGGGATCATGGAGAGGATGTTGTTCTGAAAGTCCCAATAGGTAAGCGTCTATTGGAATTGATGTGGAGAGTGTGTTTGATAGGGAACTGTTGTCTACGACCTCAGTGCTCAAGAAGAATGTAGACTGTATGATCGAAGTTACGAATTGAATCTTGATTGCAATGTACTGCCGATTTTTGGTGAACTTGAGGAACGAGTAAGTGGAGCTTCAAGTCGGTAAAAATCATCCTTTGCAGGACTATGAGCTCATTGTGGCGCGTGGAGGGGAAGGTGGTACTGGCAATACAATGGAGTGCGCATACGTTTGAAGTTGATCTTCGTTCTCATGATATTCTCCAATTCAGGAATCCTCATACTTGTGAACCTGGTGTCAGTGGAGAAAGACGTCTTATTTACCTTGTAGTGAAGTGTTTAGCTGATGTTGGATTTCTCGGCTTTCCCAATGCTGGAAAATCTACAATAATTAGCGCAGTTGAGTTCACTTATCTGCCTCGCTTGCTCACATTTCAATCTAGATTACGCGTTGTCGTGCAACAGTCAGCCCGGAACCTTTCACGACAAAAGCCCCAAACATCGGAACCATCAAATACACCGATCGTCAGTTTATTGGTCTTGCTTTCGTCCATTCTCCTTGTTTCGCAGAGTCTGAAATCACTATCGCTGATCTTCCAGGCATTATTGAAGGGGCTCATGCTGGAATCGGAATGGGAACGCGGTTTTTACAACATGCTGAACGAACAAAAGTAGGTTCTATTCTTTGTGTGTCGATCGTTTCCTTCTCTAGACCTTAGCGTTCATCGTTGATATGTCAAATGAACGGTTCCCGCCATGGGATGCCTTCTCTCTCTTGAGGTATGAGTTTATGGGTTCGCTCTCCATGAAACGAAGTCCACAATATATTCTTCCTCCAATCAATACGTAGAAAGGAAGTTGATAAATATTCTTCAAAATTGTCAAACAAACCTTTCATCGTTATTGCGAACAAATGCGATATTCGTCCGAATGAGACTGTGCCAAAAATTGATATTTTGTGGAAGTCGGTAAGTGTAATCCGTTTAACATCATCTGCCACATTTCTATTTCAGGTGATAGATTCCGCACCACAAGCAATGGTCATTCCAGTAAACATTGTTCATGTTGTTCTGTAGCTTTCTATTTTTCATCAGACAAGCGCAAAATTTGGCGACGGAGTTCCTCGTCAGTGTTTGAGTCAATTACGCCGAACAACATCCTTCTTTCCTCAGGACTTGTTGACGCGTTAAAGAGCCTAGTTCATCAAACAGAACCTTCTTAACTCCCGATCTGTCCCAGTACCATCTGACCCAATGTATATGGTGCATTTTCTGCTGTCCTGACGAGATACAGTGCCCTTGCCTACAAGCTGGATATTGGACGCGTACCATCTTGTCATCGTAAGACTCTATCACGTGGCACCTACTGACACAAACCCGTGATCAAGATGCCCGAAGAGATGACTTCGAAGTTTTGGGGGGAAAGACGATGAAACTTCATCGTCATCGGATGACGACTCGTCTGATGTGTCCTTCCTCAGACTCGGAGTCGGAAGACGTTCAGGTGGGGGAGCAACTGACAGACCAGCTGCTTATCGATGATTTCAGGCGGCCCCCAAAAAAAGCTCCAGCAGCTGGAGCGCGTTGGGCCACAATGGTCTGATAGTAGTGATGACGAAGATGAGCGTCGTGTTGTTCGATCAGCGAAAGATAAGCAGTGGACGAATTTGCAACAGATCATCAAAACAATGACTGATCGCCGAAAAATTGAAGATTTTGCGCAAGTTCAAGAAGGTGCGAGGCGTTCGGTTTAGACCGTTTGGGACACGCTCCGTTCTTCAGGTTTTTGACACTCTTCTGAAAGCCACATCCAAGGCCCGCACTCTCATTGAGAAGGAAGGATTGCCGCATTTCTTCGTGCGTGTGATCGCAGAACTTGAGGTAGGCACTCACACATGATGATTAATTCCGTGCCTACTTTATCAGAAATATGTGAATGACAAATTTGCGGATAAAGAGTGGTTGAAAAAGCTAACCAAGCCCAAAGCTGCCGCATTCAATACACTTCGTGCAAAAGTTCGCAAGGGTGTTGAAGAGTATCGCGACAAAATTGAAGAGTATCTCAAGAATCCCTCTCATTTTGCTGATGATGATGACGACATTGAGGGGGATCTGACCAAGATTCTTCTGAGACCTCAAGTGAAAGCAGTAGTGAGGATGAAAGTTCCTCTGATCTCTCGTCTGATGATGAAGATGGAAAAGCGAAGGTAGATGCTGGAAGGATAATCGGATGTTGATTGGATTGAATATTGAATAATAATAGGGTTGTAATTGCTGTTTTGTTGAATTCCTGATTTTTTGTTTAGGACTCCGCATCCGAAGATTCAGATGATAATGAGTGGGGAAGTTCAAGCGATGAATCTGTTCATGAGGAACCTGGAAAAGACGTCGATCGATACGATTATGCGCTTGAGAGATGGGGAAAGAAGACAGATGATAAAAAAGCAAAACCAGACAAAGCGAAAGTCAAGGATAAAGAGAAAGCTGCACCAAAAATCAAAGCAGCTAAACAAGTGCCAGAAGCTGTGGGCGCAACTTGGTCGTACTAGAGATACTCCAATTATTCTAGCTGGGGAGAAGATTGATGCAGATCTGATATCGAAGAAATTGCAGGAAGTAACGGCGCTCAGAGGAAGAAAGGGCTTCGATCGGATTGAACAAATCCGCCATTTGCACGAATTGGCTGATGCGGCGAAAAGCGTTGGATCGAAGAACGTTTTGGAAGTTCTTGGTCATTTAATTAGCGCGTACTTTGACGCGAATTTTGGTAAGCGGCAATATGAAGTGGATAATCTAGACAATGTAATGAAGCAGATGTTCCAAGCTGTAAACCTCGTGTCTCTCTTTTATAGGGGGCATTTGCTTGCATGCCTTCTCAGCAGTGGATGCTGTGCTATCAACAGATCGATTCCGCACTCTCTATCTTGCGAAAGGAAAAGGATTGTTACTTCCCTTTCCTAATCGCTGAAGAAGAGGAAGAAGAGTCGGCGTTGGAGCCTGAAACTGAAGGGACGTCGACTGCAGCGCTATTGAAGGTGCAACAGGAGGGAGGGGACGGAGAGATGAAGGAGTCGAAGGCAAGAATGAGCACAGCATTGATTTGCACGAGCTTTTTGGAGCGCCTTGATGACGAACTGACGAAGGCCCTCCAGCTGACTGACGTACACGCTGTCGTAAGGAATAGTGGTGTAGAGAATGAGTCTACCTCTGTGTTCTGCTGTAGGAGTACAAGGTCCGCTTGGGGCAAACTGTTGATATTCTAGCGCTGTTATGGAAGGCGTACATCTATTCTGTATCTGCAGAGCAGGCAGAATGTTCTCGCATTATAAGTCTTCGTATCTTGGAACAGATTTACTACAAGTAGGTTCTTACCATGATTCATCTCTGTCATCAATCACCTCTCAGGAATGACGCAATTGCCTCTCGTATGTGGGAACTTGTTAAGAAACGTCTTCAGCACAACGACGTTTCATCGTTATCTGGCGACTTTGCTGCAAATAAAATTGTTCCTAATTTATGTCGTCAAGTTTTGGAGTCATCGGCTGATATCAAGATCAAGACGCGTGTGGTTCTTTATCTGGCTTACTACGAATCTCTTCATGGATACTTCTACGATGCTCGAGATCTTTTGCAGACTGCGAATGTCCAGGAATTGGCGTCTCAATGCAACATTTCAACTCAGATTCTCTACAATCGAAATCTCGTTCAACTGGGTCTCTCTGCTTTCCGTCTCGGATTGATTTCTGAAGCGCACAATTATCTCTCGGAGGTTTGTGCAATGGGAAGATACAAAGAGCTCCTGGCTCAGGGACTTTCCAATCCTCGGGGTGTTGAAAAATCTCCCGAACAAGAGAGATTAGAGAAGCGCCGCCTTCTTCCTTACCATATGCACATTGCGGCTGATCTCGTTGAAGCTGTCCACAACATGTGAGACTCCTGCTACTAGTTTGCTTATGTTATTGGCATCTCAACTTCTCTATATTTTCTCTCTTGATCTTTTCAGATGTGCAATGCTGCTTGAAGTGCCGTCCATGGCGGCAAATCCGTTTTGACTACTCTAAAAAGCCGATCGCTCGAAACTTCCGTCGGTTGCTCGAAGCATATGACCGTCAAATCTTCACCGGACCACCCGAAAATCCCCGCGAAACCGTGATGGCTGCAACGAAGGCCCCTTCAAAAGGGAAATTGGAAGCCGTGTGCTGAATATGTGATGTCGATGAAGTTTTGGGCAAGCTTACCGGATAGTGCAGAAGTAAAAGAAATTCTAACAAATCGCATTAAAGAAGAAGCTTTGAGAACGTATCTGTTCAGCTATTCCTCACTCTACGATTCCTTCAACATCAAACAACTGTCAGAGATGTTCAATCTTCCGGTTTCGACGGCTCATTCCATTGTCAGCAAAGTGAGTGGTCCCTGCACTGTGATCATCCTAAGAGTCTTGTTTCGCATGTAGATGATGATTCAAGGCGCGCTCTCAGGAAGTTGGGATGAATCTTCCGAGTGTGTTTTGATCAATCGTGTTGAAAGAACACCGTTACAAGTTCTCGCCCTTCAATTGACTGAAAAGATTGCACAAGCTGTGGACCAGAATGAAGTCATGCTGAACTATCGTAACCCTAAGTAAGTCCTGAATGTCCTCTAGCACATCACCACAGGTTCTTCCTTTTGGAACTAGCAATGCTATTTATTTTTTCCTCTCTATCAAACATTTGATCCTTTCGTTTAGGTATGTTATGGCTCAAGCTAATCAACGTGAAGATCGTGGTGTTCGTCGATACGATGAGCGATGGGGCGGGAATGAACAAAGGAGATTTTATGGTCGCGAAGATCAACAGGACAGACCCTTCTCCCAATACAGGCCGCAAGCGATCAATGGGGCGCGTTCTGGGAATAGGCCAGGGGTTTCGACTCAAAGGCGCCGTTGGTAGACTCGCTCTTTTGTCCTACTTTTGACTGGTGAAAGCACAATTTTTTCTCACAAATCTCAGCCCCCGACTCTCCAAAATGAACAAAAACAAAAATATCATATCTGAGGAAATTTTTCGACTTTCCCTCTAAATCTGAACGTCTTTCTTTTCTTCGTGAAATCTAATGGAGTTAGGAATTGTTCAAAAGCCGTATTGTTGCGGACAACCATCTTGCGCCCTTTGTAACTCAAAACTTTGTGGTCGAATTGCGGCTTAGACGATCGAGGGGCCACCAGTTCCGCCAGCGCCTTCCTCACAGGGGCCAGGGAGTTACTGATATCTGTCAGCTCCACCAGCGCGTTCTTTCCAGGGGACGAGGCGCTTCTGGTCTTCGTCCTGCTCCATCAGGCCGTACGAGGCGCTCCTGGTATTCGTCACCTCGGACGAGGCGCTCTTGGTTTTCGTCTGCTCCACCAGCCCGTACGCGGCGCGTCTGGTTTTCGTCACCTCCACCACCCCGTTCTTTACAGGGGACGAGCTGGTCTGCTCCACCAGCCCGTACGCGGCGCTCCTGGCTTTCGTCACCTCCACCAGCCCTTTCTTTAGAGGGGACGAGGCGCTTCTGGTTTCCGTCTGCTTCACCAGCCCGTACGCGCTCCTGGTTTTCGTCAGCTCCACCAGCGCGTCATTAATGGGGACCAAGGCCCAACTCTTCTCCTTCTTTGGTTTTTCAACCAGTCCTGTATCTATGCGAAGAGGCTCATCCAGTGTTACTGATGGTACGAAAGCTTCAACATCATGATTAACACCGTCTTTCCACTGAGACACAATGCACCAATAGCCAAACTCAGATCGCTGAGACCTACCACAGCATTTCGATTCGGGTTTGGTATTTGGTCTTTGGAGCGAACCAGAACACCCTTGCTATCGATAACACCCTCCAATACAGCTTGCTGACACAACCAGATGCTAAGATTTAAATTGAATCTCACCTTCCAATGTTCCCGCTTCTCTTTGTATGTTCCATATTTCATTTTTTGAAACAAATACAGCTTCTTGGCATACCCGACAGGACTTGCGGGCCTCGTTTCCCCTGGACTGCATTGAAATGTTGGGAAGCATTTGGGTGGGTGTCCCTACCGGTCAACGAGCTCCAAGAGTCCCATACGAGCCCCATCGATTGGTCTCAAATACCAGAGATCAACGACGCGCGTAAAGTGAAGATGGCGATCCGCATAGTGTGGCACAAGCTCCTCATACAGAATTTGACGTGCGGTTGGGGTTCGAATGATGGACTCAACTTGACGATGGGAAACGATACTGTCTGCGAGAGTTGTGTGACGATCTGAAATCCCTTCCGAAATTACCTTTTTTAGCAAGTGTAATCAACTCCTCAGCGTATTCTTGAACTCTTTGCATCGTTCTAATGTTGATTGAATCTTTCCCTTGATAACCAAACGATCAAGGACATTTCTGAAATGAACTTGTCTCTGAGGGCCATCTGCAGTCGCCCCACCTGATGTAGTTCCACTTGTGATGTGGCTGCCCACCACCGATTTGGCGATGCGGGCGGCGACGCACGTGTCGAGAAACAAATTTAGCAGTGCCTGTCCATCCCATCTGACCATACGAGTTGTTTGGTAGGGGAAAACTACAACGACGCAAAAAAGACTGACTACGGCAGTGCACGGAGAAAAACTGAACTGAT